TCATGTAAAGCACACATCCAGACAATCACCTAAATATCCCTTTTATTTTCCAAAGTCATTGAAGTGAACGTTTATTTTTTTTCCGGTGGTTCCTTTTTTCCTTTATTTCAATATTCATATCAAATGATGCCGTTTATTGTATCGCTTTACGTCTAAAGACAAAACAGTGAAATACTCAATGTCTCTGTTTCTTTGGAAGTCATTGAAATCTCGATGAAAGAAAGCCACGTTTTACATTCACAATCAGCGGCAAGAGAACAAGGAAGATGATGATACCGACCTATCGTCCTTGTCATTCATGCCGAATTGCGATTGTGTGCGTTCAATTGTATGCACGTAATTTTGAATTTGAGGTAGGGAATGCAGGCGAATGACAATTTAGAGGGATTTTTTCTTTCTTGAAACCAGAAGATCTTCTAAAGGTCTCTAATGGGTCTACTATAGCCAGGATAATTGTTACAGATTGTTCTAAGGGTCTTCTAAAGTCAAAGGTCTCTAATGGATCTACCATAGCCAGGATGATTCTTACAGATTGTTTTAAGGCCAGAAGACCTTTTAGAAGTCAACTTTAAAATGAAAACCAGTGACATAGCTTCTACTGGTAGTCTAAAGTCTGAAGGCTTTTGCAGTTCTTTCCATCCAGAAGAGACGTTAGGCAAATTAATTTATAGTCGGAAGGTATTGAACAGATTTCCTTTTTTTGCCTTCCAAGGCCAGACGACCTTTTGAGCGTGTTCTGCCAACCGAAGAGCACTCTACAGGACTTCTACAACCGGATGACCTTCCACAGATCTTTTACAACCAGAAGAACTTTCAGAGTTTTTCTATGGCTAGAAGACTTATTGTCGGTCATCTAAAGCCATAAGACATTCCACAGGTTTTCTACCGCCAGACGAACTTTCACAGGTCTTCTTCGGTCAGACGACCTTCTACAGGACTTCTACGTCTAAAAGACCTTTCAAAGGTTGTCCGATGACTTTCCACAGTTTTTTTACAGGCAGAAATGCTTCCGAAGGTCTTGCAAATCCCGAAAAGCTTTCACAGGTGGAAAAAATACCTTTTACGACCTTTCCGTATCTAGAAGACCTGTTACAGCTCCTCTATATCTAGAAGACTTGTTATAGATCTTGTATGACCGGAAGACCCGTCACAGCTCTTCTATGGGTGGAAGATCAGTGACAAATCTTCCATGACTAGAAGACCAGCCACAGCTCTTGCATAGCTAGAAGACCAGCCACAACTCTCCCATGGCTAGAAGACCAGCCACAGCGTTTATTGGCCAAAATACATGTCCCAGCTCTTCTATGGGTGGAAGATCAGCCACAACTCTTCCATGGCTAGAAGACCAGTCATAGCTCTTGCATGGCTAGAAGACCAGCCACAGCTTTTTAATGGCCGGAAGGCCTGTTATAGCTCTTTTATGGCCAGAAGGTCTGTTACAGCTCTTTTCTGGCTAGAAGACCTGTTACAGATCTTCTATGGAAAATCAATTACAGCTCTTCTGTGGCGAGAAGAGCTGTTACGGCTCTTCTATGGCAAAATGACCCTTTACTGCTCTTCTATGGCCAGAAGAACTATTAGATATCTTCTATGGCTATAGGACCTGTTACAGCTCTTCTATGTCTAGAAGACCTGTTATAGCTCTTCTACAGCTAGAAGACCTGTTACAGCTCTTCTATGGCTAGAAGACCTGCTACGGCTCTTCTATGGCTAGAAGAACTGTTACAGCTCTTCTATGGCTAGAAGACCTGTTACAGCTCTTCTATGGCTAGAAGACCTCTTACGGCTCTTCTATGGCTAGAAGAACTGTTACAGCCCTTTTATGGGTAGAAGACCTGTTACAGCTCTTCTATGGCTAGAAGACCTCTTACGGCTCTTCTATGGCTAGAAGACCTGTTACAGCCCTTTTATGGCTAGAAGACCTGTTACAACTCTACTTTGACTAGACGTCTTTTTAGTCCTTTTCTATAGCCAGAAGGCCTGTTACAGCTCTTCTATGACTAGAAGTCCTCTTAGAGCTCTTCTATACCACGTATAGCTCTTCTACGGCTAGAATACGTGAAACTTTTTCGACGTGTCTTCCCTACAGTATGTGGGCGTTCCACGTATTCCCTGCTGTGTGCCATATTTGAATAGCGGATTTTCTTTCACTGATGTATCTATGTGTGTGTATGTAGTTGTTAATATTCAGTGAACAGCAATGGCGTGATTTGATTTAGCAGCAGCCGCATCCTTCAACAGCAGTTCTACAACATAAATCCTTTTCGTATTGCGTTTTCCTTTTTGTTCGTCATCTTCGCCGTTGTTTTCCCTCTCCTGTGTTTTTGCTGCTTTTGGTTGGCTTGACTTGGCTTTGTGGTGGTGCTGGCGTTGTGTCATTGTCAATACCACCATGGCAATGTTGAATGATTCACGTATTTATATCACTATTTGTTTTTAGTTTTGTGTGTAAGTTGGTGTGGTGTGTGTGTGTGTGTGTGTGTGACTAAGACAATAAGTCTATGACAATGTCAATGTTTCCTACTCAATGAATATTCGCCTTGCAATTCAAATGATTTATTATTTTGCTGTTGCTGTTGTTATTCACAGAGAAATTGTTTATAACTGTCCCTTTGTGTGGAAATGTGAAAAGTTAGATGTGTACGTGTGTATGTGTGTGTGTGAGTGTGGGATCCTTTTATTGTAATTATTTCTTGAAGTGTGTCCCTGTGTGGTTGTATTCGTGTGCGATATTCTGCCAATGTTGGCGATAATGTCATTGTCAGCACCCTGTTTTACATGGATTTACACTTTGTTGCCAACAATCGAAATTGTCAGTCGAAGACAACTACAACCCGGCCGAACACACAACGTTACGGAAGCCTGAAACAACAAAAGGGAAAAGGTCCAACTACAACAACATAGGCCGCCAATACAATTGAAGATAACAAACATCAAAGTTGCCATGTTTAGTTCTTGTTTTACAGCCAACATCTCGAACAAGAATTTAATTGGATCCACCATGCCAACCGCCAGCCTCCGCCGCTAACGCACAAAAGCCGCCCAGCGGACGACTAACCAACCAAAGTCAAATCATGTTGTGCGGGAATAACTTTTGCCATAAAACAAAACCCAGCAGGCAATTATTTCGCAAAACAAATCGACATAACAATGGCAGCTATTTTTTTCTTTTTATTTGGTTTGAATGACATTTTTGTCGCTGACAATGGTAGCTGTTGTTATTGTTTTGGGTTCTGCGATAACAAAGAAAAAAAAAGAATTTCCAAACCAATAGAAATTATTGCCAAAGGTAAAATTGTTAGTTAACCCGCCACCTCCCAGCCATGGTTACTGAAATGACAAAAGCCTATCAGCAGCAAAAAAATCGATTATATTCTTTGTGTAATCACAATGCCGAAATTAATTGGAAACCAAATTAGGGTGAAATGAAATTATATAAAATTAATTGTAATCGACATGGATTCTTTAAATATCAGGAATATTTTTCAGAGAAATATAAAATCATATAGAAGCTGTAACAGGACTTCTGGCTATAGAAGTTCTCTAACACGTCTTCAGGCCATAGAATAGATGTAATAGGTATTCTGGCCATAGAAGAAGTTTAACAGGGTTTCTGGCCATAGAGGAACTTTAAGAAGAGCTGTAACAGGTCTTCTTTCCATAGAAGTGGAGGATGTACTGGCCAGTGGAGGATGTACTGGCTGTCTTGTGGTAGGTCTTGCGGCTTTAGAAGACCTGTAGTAGGTCTTCTGGCTGTAGAAGAGCTGTGGTAAGTTTCTTTCTTAAAGAAGACCTTTGTACTCCTGATTGTAGATACATTGCCTTAGACCTTCTAGGATGTAGTAGACATGTGATAAATCGTCTGCCTGTAGAAGACCAGTCGTAAAACTTATGTACGTGTAAGAATTAGAGTATATTTTTCTGACCGTAGAATAGCTGTTGTTGATCTTCTGGCTGTAAAAAACCAGTAGTAGTCCTTTTGGTCACAGATGACCTGTTCTTGGTCTTCTGGCTGTAGAAGATATCTGACTGGTATTTTGCTCTTAGATTAGATTACCTGTAAAAGGTCTTGAGATTGTCTTATTTCTGTTGAATATTTGTCTTTTAGCTGTCGAAGAGCTGAAGTAGATCTTCCGGCCATAGAAATCCTGTTGTAAGTCTTGTGACTGAAGAAGACCTTTGGTGAGTTTTCTCTGTGTAGAAAACTTTGCGGTAGGTCTTCTGGCTGTAAAAGATCTGTTGTAGGCCTTCTTGCTGTAGAAGACTTCTGTTTGGTATTTTGCCATTAGATTAGATTACCTGTAAAATGCCCTGAAAATATCTTCTTTGTATTGAATATTTTTATAAAACAACAATGCCAACAATAATATAAACCTTTGATCCTCTCTTCAAAATTACAATATTATTGCTTTTTCTTTTTGTTACAAAGTCGATTTTATTTTAAGAAGTTTCTTTCAACCTTGTCAATTTTTATTTTTTTTTCGTATTGCGTATTTGTGTTATTGTTTCTGATACCCCCGAAAGTGTTTTCAAATTATTTCTGTGTAAATTACTCTTCGTTGTGGGCGGGGAGGGGGAGAATAAAACGAAACAATACATTAAAAGTAATAAATTGTTGCCGACAGTTATTTTCTTTCCTGTTTTCCAAGAAGAGTTTGAAGGAATTTCCTTGTTGTTCTTTGCGTTCCCTTTTTCGATTATTGAATTGAATTGTAGGTGAAGTAGTGTTTTTTTTTTTTTTTTTGTATTCTGTTGTCTCAACTTGTCACAATGTAATGTTGTTTTGAGTTTTTTTTTCCTTCTGCTGGCATAACAGAGAGAAAAGTATATCTGGGAAATATGCATCCAGAGATAGATATTTTTATAGAAGTGACAAAAATGTCAAAGAAATTGACTTGATGCCAGAGCCAGAGGTGTTTTAAAATTTATGGAATGAGAAGGGGTTTGGAGGTTGTTATCCATACATTTTCAATATTATTATGGAAAATTCTTGCACTTACCTCGAATGATATAATATATCTTCTTTATATCTGCAAGAGATTAAAAAATATTTATTTTCAAGTTATAGAATATTATTGTTTTGTTAAAAAATGGAGATTAACAAGAATATAACTAAAGGTACAAGTTAATGACAAAAATATGAGAAATTCAATATTTTAACATAAGAAAGTATCAATAAAGACCACCAGAATATTATCGGGTTTCTTGAGTTTTTCTTTGCTTCTTATGGACTTTGTTGAACAAAATTCTCAAAAATTGTTAGTCTTTATATTTTCACAGAAGTACGACGGACCTTTGGGCCCATTCCAATCGACGAGGCTTGTCCGCAGGCAACATTCTTTGCGTCAATTGAATTTTGTACGGGAACAAATGCAAATCAATGCGAATAATCCGTTGTAAAGTGGACCGAGCCATGCCCAACTGCTGAAAACGGCGTTTTTGGGATGTTCTTGGGGACCTCTCAACACTGGCTCGTACGGCAGCGATATTCTCGGCCGATCGCCTTGGTCGACTTTTACGTGGCCTCTTCGGATTAGAAAGAGCCTTACCAGTCGAAAATTTTTCGTTTAAACGCTTAATGGTGTTCTTAGAAGGCGCACTTCTCACCTTTTTTCACAATTGACTTCTTGTGTTGAATGTAAATTTCAACTATTTCAGGGATCTCGCGTGGCGTGTATTGGTTCATGGTAAAAATCTACTTGGACTGACGCTTCAAACGCGATATGTCATTAAGCGATGTGACATCTCTGTCAAAAGTTATGGCGTTGCCAAATGGCTCCATCGAATATGGACAACCCTGTACAGGATGAGATGGAGAAACTGCAACCAACTTCAGACTGCTGTCATTTCTAAGCCACACGTCCGATAGCTGTTCAAATTATTTTAGTAACAGCTCATTATATTGTTTACAAGCATACCACAGCATTTTGGTGAGAATTTTCCAGAAAAAAAGTTATTCGTGATGAAATTCAAGCGTGTTAGTGTGATTTATTTACATTTGGCTGGAAAACCACAAGTGGCTATCATTAGAGCACTCCAGCATTTAAATGTCAATAAATCTTTTGTGTGTCTTGTGCCTCGGAGCGTATCCCGACGTCAAGAAAGTGGACGGAAGAAAACAGCAGCATCAACAGCAGCGTCACAGTGGCCGAAAAATGGCTCGTTAGCTGAATACATCTCAATATTCCATACGGAAAATATTGAAAAATGGGCTCGGGATAAAGCCATTGAAATTCCAAAAAGTTCAAGAACTTACTTCCCCATTTGGCAAATATTGAAAAATTAGCTCGGGGTGAAGCCATTGAAATTCCAAAAAGTGCAAGAACTTACACCGCAACAGAAAGAAAATAGACTGAAAAGAGTCGCAGTGGCCGAAAAATAGCTCGTGAGCTGAACATATCGCAATATTCCAATCGGCAAATATTGAAAAATGAGATTGGGATAAAGCCATTGAAATTCCAAAAAGTTCAAGAACTTATTTCCCCATTCGGCAATTATTAAAAAATTAGCTCGGGGTGAAGACATTAAAATTCCAAAAAGTGCAAGAACTTACACCGCAACAGAAAAAATAGACTCAAAAGAGCTAAAGAGTAGCTTCACTTGGTCGAAAGTGGTGAACTGCTGAATTTGGTTATCTCCGACGATGTTGAGAAAACATTCGTTGTCCAGCAGTTTGTAAACAAACAAAAACAAAATTGTGTTTACTTGCCAAAGAGGTCAGCTAAAAATGTGCACCTTCGATTGGCCACCAGAACTCAAGCGCTGCCCATGGTGATGGCCGCCATAACAGCCGATTGTCACTCTCCGCTCGTATTAATCGACCGTGGTATCAGAATAAATTCTGAATATTATCACGAAAATATTCTGGAGGGTATATTAAAGCCTTAGCTAGGTCATGTAGTGCGAATGGATGAGGATGCCCCAGCTCATAAGGTATATAAGAGCGAGCCTACTGATGGTTCACGCAGAAGGGGAAGGCCAAGAATAAGATGGAAAGACCAAGTAGAAGACAATATATCGGAACATGGTCTTTCAAATTGGAAAAACTGCGCACAAGACCGACGCGCCTGGAAATCTTTTCTAAACTCGGCTTATGGAACAAATGTTCTGTCTCGAGCCAGCTAAGAAGAAGAAGAAGATATTAAAGCCTTGGACACGCAAACATTTTGGCCGCAGACCTTGGACATTCCAACAGGACTCATCATCATCGCACTCATGAAGCGAATGGTTACAAAATGAGGTTCCTCGCTTCCTTTCCAGAGCACAATGGCCACCAAAATCTCCGGATATCAATCCGTTGGACTATTGTGTCTGGAGTATTTTGGAAAGCAAGGTTGGCACTAAAAAATACCAAAATGTTGATCACCTCAAGCAAGCGTTTCGCCGGGAATGGACCAAAATACCGCAGAGCAACATTTAGGCAGCGTGTGACGGCGATTTCATTGGCCGTTTGAAGGCCATAATTCGTGCCAAAGGTGACCAATTCGAACAAATCTAAACTTATTCTAAAATTTGATGCTATTTCCGACATTTTTGCTTTCATTCAATAAAATTTAAATACAAAAAATGTAAAAATTATGGCTTTGACTTTGTTGTAGTTTTCGTATCTCACCCTGTATATCGATATGAACCACACTCTTGGAATTTTGAATATTTTTTTTTAACATTTTTGACATTTGAAAGTCATTTCGATGTCACACAATTGCGGTTTGGCAATTAACGCACATTTATCATACACTCCAAATCCTTTTGATATATGTATAGAAAATGTGAGAATATATAATTTAAAAATATGTCACATATCCTGGTTAAACTTCTATCTACCATATTTGGGATATATGTACATATGTAGGTGTAGATATTTCAAATTTTAATGTTCGGTAATCTTTAAAATTCCTACACGTGTTTTGCATATTAAAACAAATCGATGGGGAATGAAGTGTGATATCTAAGTGAGTGTGTAATTCATGAGCTCAAAATTACCTCTGGAAGCCACAATAAATTAATAATCAAAATTGACTATGATAAGCCATGGCAAACTCATAAATTCTTAAGTTTTTTTCCTTCGCCTATGTGTGCGGGCTATGTGACATGTTAGGTTGTGGTAAATACGTGTATGTGTGTGGTTTTGCGTGTATTAGGGGGTAATGAGGGGATAATTCAAAGACCCAGAAAGTCGGATTTTTAAAAGAAGATTTTTTCAAGGATCCACAGACCAAGAAATGTGGACTTTTAAAAGATATTTTTTCCAAGGATCCACAGACCAAGAAACGTGGATTTTTAAAGAATATTTTTTCAAGGATCCACAGACCAAGAAACGTGGATTTTTAAAGAATATTTTTTCAAGGATCCACAGACCAAGAAACGTGGATTTTTAAAGAATATTTTTTCAAGGATCCACAGACCAAGAAACGTGGATTTTTAAAGAATATTTTTTCAAGGATCCACAGACCAAGAAACGTGGATTTTTAAAGAATATTTTTTCAAGGATCCACAGACCAAGAAACGTGGATTTTTAAAGAATATTTTTTCAAGGATCCACAGACCAAGAAACGTGGATTTTTAAAGAATATTTTTTCAAGGATCCACAGACCAAGAAACGTGGATTTTTAAAGAATATTTTTTCAAGGATCCACAGACCAAGAAACGTGGATTTTTAAAGAATATTTTTTCAAGGATCCACAGACCAAGAAACGTGGATTTTTAAAGAATATTTTTTCAAGGATCCACAGACCAAGAAACGTGGATTTTTAAAGAATATTTTTTCAAGGATCCACAGACCAAGAAACGTGGATTTTTAAAGAATATTTTTTCAAGGATCCACAGACCAAGAAACGTGGATTTTTAAAGAATATTTTTTCAAGGATCCACAGACCAAGAAACGTGGATTTTTAAAGAATATTTTTTCAAAGATCCACAGACCAAGAAACGTGGATTTTTAAAGAATATTTTTTCAAGGATCCACAGACCAAGAAACGTGGATTTTTAAAGAATATTTTTTCAAGGATCCACAGACCAAGAAACGTGGATTTTTAAAGAATATTTTTTCAAAGATCCACAGACCAAGAAACGTGGATTTTTAAAGAATATTTTTTCAAGGATCCAAGAAACGTGGATTTTTAAAGAATATTTTTTCAAGGATCAACAGAAACGTGGATTTTTTTTAAAAAATATTTTTTTCAAGGATCCAAGAAACGTGGATTTTAAAAAAATATTTTTTTCAAGTATCCAAGAAACGTGGATTTTTTAAAAAATATTTTTTTCAAGGATCCAAGAAACGTGGATTTTTAAAAAATATTTTTTTCAAGGATCCAAGAAATGTGGATTTTTAAAAAATATTTTTTTCAATGATCCAAGAAACGTGGATTTTTAAAAAAAATTTTCTTCAAGGATTCATGAAACGTGGATTTTTAAAAAAATATTTTTTTCAATGATCCAAGAAACGTGGATTTTTAAAAATATTTTTTTCAAGGATCCAAGAAACGTGGATTTTTAAAAAATATTTTTTTCAAGGATCCAAGAAACGTGGATTTTTAAAAAATATTTTTTTCAAGGATCCAAGAAACGTGGATTTTTAAAAAATATTTTTTTCAAGGATCCAAGAAACGTGGATTTTTAAAAAATATTTTTTTCCAGGATCCAAGAAACGTGGATTTTTAAAAAATATTTTTTTCAAGGATCCAAGAAACGTGGATTTTTAAAAAATATTTTTTTCAAGGATCCAAGAAACGTGGATTTTTAAAAAATATTTTTTTCAAGGATCCAAGAAACGTGGATTTTTAAAAAATATTTTTTTCAAGGATCCAAGAAACGTGGATTTTTAAAAAATATTTTTTTCAAGGATCCAAGAAACGTGTATTTTTAAAAAATATTTTTTTCAAAGATCCAAGAAACGTGTATTTTTAAAAAATATTTTTTCGAGGATCCAAAGATCTAGAAACATGGATTTTTAAAGAATATTTTTTCAAGGACCAACAGACTTAGAAACATGGATTTTTAATGAAAATTGTTTTAAGGATACAACAATAAG